GGGGGGGGGGGGGGGGGGGGGGTTGGGTGGGGTGGGCGGCGGCCCTGTGGTTGGGGAGGGGGGGGGGGGGGGGGGGGGGGGCGGGGGGGGGGGGGGGGGGGGGGGGGGGTGGGGGAGCGGCGGGGCGGACTCTGAGGATCTGCGGCGCCTGAGGCTGGACGCGTAGTCCTGCTCCTCGCGTTGGTCGAGGCCCAACTCGGGGGTACCCCTCCCTGCCGAGCCCGAGCCCGATCCAGAGGAGGAAGGGGGGACAGGGGGGGCATGTGCGTAGGGGTAATGGCGCGGGGCACTGCCGACCTCGGAGCGGTGGGCCTGGCGGACGCGGGCGGCGTGTGCGTCGCCTGCTGCTATGTCGGGATCGGCGGGGGCGCGGAGGAGGGTGTGGAAGGGGACGTTGGCGGGGAGGGGGAGGGACGCGGAGGAGAAGCGGTCTGTCCAGTGGGTCTCGGGCTGGGGGTCGACGGAGGGAGGGGAGGAAGAGGGGGGAGGGGAGGGCTGGGCGCTGGGGAGGGAGTAGGGGCGGGAAAAGGGGAAGATCGGGGTGGCGATGGTGGTTGTGCGGCGGTCGATGGACTCGGGGGGCGGGGTGCAGCGGGGCGGGGACGAGGCGGACGTGGCGCTGGAGGCAGGCTCGTCGTCGGCGTCCTCGAAGACGGGGTGGGACGGCGACGCCGGGTCCGAGGCGGAGTCGGGGGTGGACGGCGGGGCGTCCTGGGCGGAGAAGTAGTCGTTGTGCAGCCGGGCTGACGGCGTCGTGCCGGACGACGGGAACAGGGCCGGCAGCAGCGACGGCGAGGGCAACGGCAACGGCAACGACGGCGAGGGCAGCGGCAACGACGGCGAGGGCAGCGGCAACGACGGCGAGGGCAGCGGCACCTCCCGCGGCGAGTCGAACGAGGCGTGGCGTTTTTGAAAGGCCGACGAGCGGCCTGGAGAGAGTCAGTGGCTGGCATACATCTCATGCAGCTCTCACGCACCGTTGGCGTTGGCCCAGCGCTGCAGCAACTCCTTGTCGGCAGGCAGATCAGAGGCGGTCGGGGCGGGGGGCAGAGACATGCTGGGAGGGAACCGCATCGTGCTCGAGGGCGTCGTCGCGGACAGCGGTGGGGGGCGATGGGCGTCGTCGCGGTCGCGGTGGTGGTGGGTGGGCATGTCGTGGTGTGGACCACTCCATGCCTCGGCAAAATCTACACCCTTGTTTGTTTGTCCGTCGCAAGCCCGTGGCGCGAGCTGTGCCCCTGCATGACGTCACCGTCGTCTATCGCAACAAGACCCGCGCACCCATGGACCATTCGATCTGCTCCACCTGCTCCACACCTGTCCACACCATTTGTGTCTCAGACTACCAGGCATCGGTGCTGTGGTCGGCCACTTCCCCTCCTGTACCACGTCACGTCCCAACAGACAGCAGCGCTCATCCCTCGGCATTGCGCTCATCCTCTGGTTCTTTGGCATTGCAGCATCTCGACATATAACACCTCTCTTACTCAGATGACCACACACTCCCACCCGTCCTCCCCACCCATTACCGCCGGCACCTGCGCCTGCCCTCGGTGACATCATACACATGGGCTATTCCAGGCGTTCTTTCTAAATCGAACCCCTGTCAAATAGCCTCCAGCCAATGGAATAGCCTCTCTCGCTTCGTCAGCGCAGCATGTGTAATCCAACTCAAAGGGAAAAAAAAATTTGGTGAATCGTAACGACAGACACGGATGCAATCATCGGCTCCGCCTCACCTCGCCCCCTCTCATCACCCACATCCGATCACTCAGAGTCAAACTCTGTCATCCACCAAACAAGCTCAAGCTCCCGTTCCCGTTCATCCCGCCCCCGATACATACATAGTGGAAGCTCGTCATCCATCCCGCGCATGCCGCGCGTCGTCGTGTCGTCGTCCACAAGGAGAGGGGGGGGGGAAGGAACAACTTCGGGCCCATATCCCTCACCGCGCCTCGCCTCGGATTTTTACATGCATGCCCACTTGTCAACGTGAGCTGTGAGCTGTGAACAGTGAATAGTTTGAACGTTGCGTGATTTGAGCGATTCGGCCGCCATTCCTTGCCTCACCAGGAGCACGAGGAGGGGACAGGCGAGGCATCGGACGCGGACTCGGACTCGGCCGGCCATACACTAACTAAGTCTTAGGGGATCTAGGGAGGGCACGCGGCACACGGTATGCGGCCGAGGGAGATGCCGCGGGATGGTAAGGGCTCGGTTATCTTGAAGGGTTGGGTGGGCAGGGTGGATGTGCAAGGTGGTCTTGGTCCTGGTCTTGTCAGGACACCCCAAACACCTGAGCTTTGAATCTGTGAATCTGATCCAACCACCGGATCAACTTCAGTACGTGACATACCCATTGCCCCCTTGCCTCCTCAAAAAACCTGAAGAGAGGTTTTATAGGAACTTATGTTCAACAACAGCCCCTTCTCACTCCGTTTTGCGGAACCTCTTTGAACCCGATCACAGCGCCAACTCTAAAGGCCCCTTACGTGACATATGTGTATGAACATACACCGATTCACCCTCCCCTCCCACACGCCTCATACATACATACAATGACCGATGACATACACACCCACAACCCCAACCCCAACCCCGACACCCCGACAATGCACCGCGCCAGGCACAACCAGCAGCGCAACAAGGCACCCGTCGTCCGTCTCCAACCCCCCTCCATGAGATCGCCCAGGGGACGGGTGCGAAGTACTTTCCTATGTATTCTGACAACGCTCCACACCCTGGATGAAAAAGCTGGCAGGCGGTGACAGGTCTGGTCTGAGGTGTCTCGCTTAGAGCTGGGCTGGGAACAACCGTGTGACGTCACTGATGTGTGAGTTGTTCCTGGCTGTGAGGAGACGGTCCATGGAAGAGGAGGAGGAGAAAGAGGAGGAGGAGGTGCGGTGCGTGGCTCGAGGGGCCTGAGGGTAGGATGTTCGCGGGGTTTTTGGAATTCTGGAAATGGATATGGATATTCACGTACGGGTTGCGGTTTACGTAGTGTATGTATGTATGGTACGTACGTACATACGCACATGAGGCAGGGATCCACCAGCCATCAGTGTACTATGTAGGTTATACATATACGTAGCCCCGCACCCTGAGACTTAGGTGCATTGTGCGCGCTACCGAGACATATATGTATGTATGTTTATCCATGCCTTTAGTTCTGACAGAGGCGTACGTACGTACGTATATTCATACATACATACATGACAAGCACGATGACAGAACGTGGGTGGTAGCGCCATACTCAATTAGGACGACGGCAGACGCCGCACCACACCCCACCGCGCCAGAAGAGATTCTCAGACAAGAAAAGAAGAAAATTCAACCGAAAAGCGCCGTTGTGACGTCACCCCTCTGGTGGGCGGAGGATCTTGCGCGCCACCTCCCCCCACTCTCTTGGAAGTTGGAGAGGAGGAGAAGCAGGGGTGCGAGCGATTTAAAAGGATGTTTTTTTTTTATCATCATTCAAGTGCGTGGGGGCTATGGCCATGGGGTTTCAGGGAGGCGTTCTGTGCACGCACACTAAGTCTAAGTACTAGGCTAGAAATCCACGCTAGCACTGAAATGTGAATGTCATTGGGGAACTCGGGGGGAATTGAAGCAAGATTGAAAAGAGGACGTATCAGATTCACATCACCTCACTTCCTAAGTAACTTCTTTGCTAGTATATCGGTTAGTACACGCGCCTGTCATCGCTAACAAGTGATCCATCCGCGCGAAAGCTGGGTTCGACTCCCAGGCAGAGAGAGCAGTTGCAAACTTTTTCTTTTACAGTTGGTGGGTGATCTCCCGAGTTCGAAGTTTCAGTGGCCATCCCTGGTGAATATTGCAGCTTGGGGTGTGGGATCAATCCCGATAGAGGATTCATGAGCGAGCAACCCTTGCTATGTAGTGACGACAGATGAGGGATCTGGTGAAGACTTCTGAAGCTGGCATCTGATCGTTCATGAACAAGTACCTCGTCCTCGCCCGTTGTACATAGGGACCAGCAAAAATCCCTCATGAGTCGTGCATGCAACAAGACCAGTATGTACATAGATAATCAAAAAAAAAAAAAACCGAGAGGGTCCAAGCATAAGGGTCAGGTGCAGTCTGGAAAAACGGATCCTCCCAGTTGTCAGTCCCGGACAGGTGTTTTGTTTGTGGGTACAATATTCGGGAATCAGAGCACCACAAGTATGTACATACATAGAACCCACTGACAGTTGTTAGATGTGTAGAAGCCATACGACTTTGAATGGAGGTACCAACTTGAGGCTTCAAGGATACGTCAGGAAGAGATGTCATGAGCGGATCTACATCAACAGAGGCTCTGTGCCGGTGGAGCGAGGGTGAGGACTTTGTATGTAGGACGGGTAGAAAGAAGGGTATCGTGGTGGGTGATGTCATGACAGGAACAAGGGAAGAAAGGTAGACAACTTGTCCACTGTAAGTTTTGACTCAAAACATGTAAGGTCTGTCCCATCAACAGTGTGATTAGTCTTTGTGACAACTTGACTTCTTTAGTTCAATTACTTCCCTGAAAAATAATGCTTCCGTAATGCAATCACAGATAATCTCGAAAAGTGCATCATTTGGGACTCAATAAACATTTGTGCAAAACTGAAAAAGAAGGTCTGCCCCACGAAGAAACTAATTGAGTCGAGG